AAAGTAATAAATGTTTGTGTTCCTTTTAGACCATGATGCCAAAGCTGTCAATTAAGCACATCCGTTCAATTTAAACCGCAGTATTCTGAGCATAGACGCCGACCTGCGAGAACGACAGGGAGAAAAATATAGGATGCGCGGCCTTGCTGTCTCTCATAGCGCTGAACTATTAGATCAGGCAGAGACTTACAACACTCATAATCCCCAAGCCTAAGAAGACTGAAGTTGACATGACAGGTAACTGAAGGAGGCAATTTCCCAAAGGAGCTCTGATGTACAGACTAGCGGCAAAAAAGATGGGAGAAGAGCACCGAGATCTGATGAACGGTAATTGGTCCTGGGGTACAGAAGCAAATACCAAGAGATCACTGAGGCAACTACATGACTACAAAATCACTTCAAATCCTGAGCAGGAAAAAGGTACAAAAATAAATTAAACTATCTTTAAAAGGAAAGAGGCAAAGAGCGAGAGCGAGAGAGATATTTACCAATGAAAAAAAGATACTCCCATGTCCGGTGTGTAAATATTCTTCCTGCTCGTTCTATGGAGAACAGCTGGGCAACACCATGGAAAAACCTGCCCTGGACCTAACCAGGCTCTGACTGACACGAGAGATCAGAGAAACCTTTCTAACAAAATCTAGAAGGACAAAAGGGATGTTCAAGCTGGACAAAACGTGCCCTGGTTACCAATGCACGTCTTCAGAAAACAAAAAAAAAAACTCAGAGTTGAACGGTTCCATGTCACATGCGACCACAGACCTTCTTGAAGGCTTGGAGGTCAAGGCAGAAATTAATATTTCACAGACGTTCGAGTTCAGGATGGGTTGCAAAGTATTTGTGTGAAACTAAAAAAGAGAGACAGTTTTAGTATTTTGAGAAGGTTTAAAGGAAAGCTGTCTCTCACATAAGCTTTTATAATTTCTAACTACGCTTTCAATATTTACCTAATGCTTATAATCTCTGCAGAGCACAAAGATCTCTGGCAGCAGGATATGCACTCCAAAGAGCTTACAATCCTTTTTCCCTGCAAGGACTATGGAAGTGGAAACATGATTGCCAACTTAGGTGGTAAGTGATAAATTTAGAACAAACTGATCGCTTTATTTCAAAAGTTCCCAACAGGCAGCCCTGCTGGTCAGCAACAATGCACTGAATTAAAGCCTGGTCTCCAATAAAAACGGAGGTCTCTGCTAGCCAGCAACAATACATTAAACCAACACTAATCTCAGGCGTTAAATCTTAAAAATGCATTCAAGAACCTTAACTATTAACAAAAATGTATCTTATTTGTGTATCACTCGGCTGTAGATCCTGAAATCATCTCTGAATAGGGGCCGACACTGTCCTTCCTTCTGGAGGGTGGCTACTTTTGTTTCCCATGGTTCCTGTGTGTGTTTAAAAGTAGTCACCACTCCAAGCTCACTCACCATAATGGACTACAATCTCAATACAAATTAGTAAAATAATTGTGAGATTGCTTCCAATACCTCAATAAGATCAGAAGTCTCTGTCTTCACACATTAATAAATATAGTTGATGAGTTTGAATAGACACAGGCCAATCAAGTTCAAAATAGAAGACAACTGTTCAAGGTAGCTGCAGGATTTTCATATGCATGTGATCAATGCAACAAGAAGACAACAACATGGTGGGTGCTCAAGCAATTCATAACTAACTGTTATAATGAATGGTTCCTCCCACTGAGCATGTATCTAGTTATAAACTGATTGACTAACCGATAACCTGACCTTGAAGTAGAACATGCCATTGAGGTAGAACATGCCAACTCCATAGAGATAGTACTCCCATAGATATGCCTTGTTTTTTCTAAAGGAAGAAGAGCGGACATCTAAGCTTCTAAACAATGATAACCAATCACAATTTAGCCTTCAAGAGATTGAAGAGGCAGATGGAGAAATAAAAAAAGCTGGTCTGTCACTTTTTGTTAATAAAAAAATTAAAAAAAGAAGCACAATATTAGAAATATATGGCAGAACAGCAAACAATGCTGCTCTACACAAGGAGAAATCTCTTGATGATGCCACTGTTGCCAGGATGAAGGAGGCGTTGTTTCCAGTTTTCTCTGTTGCACTCACATGGCTCTGCATGTACTCTTACTCTGCCAGATGGGACATAGGCACAGTATGTGACCCTGTTTGAAGCACCATATGCAAAACTGACAGGCCCATCTCACAAATGGTTAAAACCAGACCTGGAATTGTGATTTTTGACAAATGAGATTGCCAACTGATACATTATATAGGCAGCAAGGACTTGCAAAAGATCAGGGTGATTATGGATTTTAAATCATATCTGCTACATTATCTCTGTTACATCCATCGGTATTGGACATCTATAATGTGATATATTTGCCGCAAGTTAGACAACATTATACATATATGTGCTTTGTTAAATGATATTCTGATATTTCTTTGACTGTATAAAAATAAAGCGATGTTGAAATGCACTTTGGAATCCAATTATCTCTTAAAAAATAAATTTATTGATGCATAATGGCATGCAGAGCTGCATTAATTTGCCTCTTTTATATCTGCCTGGAATTCGACTTTCAAGCATATTTAAACCAAAAAATACAAAAACCTAATACAGCGGTACCTCGGTTCACGAACTTAATTCATTCCGCGATTCTGGTCATGAACCTAATGAAACTGTGATCAGATCGTGATCTTGACTAGAGGAAGCTATGACCATGTGTCAGAGCACGGAAAATGGCTGCGGTTGTGTTCATTACCCGAAGCGGAGGCAACATTTTGCCGAACCTCCTATTCGCGAACGGGTTGGTCGTGAACAGAAGCGTTTGTGAACCGAGGTACCACTGTATATCGCAGATTGCCAGTCCTTCGATGTGGTGGCTGCTTTAGTTTTTGATTCCTTTTATGTTCACCCAGTGGTAATGAGAATATAAAAAACTATTGTTCGCCCCGCTGAAGATATTGCCCAAAAATACAACACAAAGAAAATACCAACAAAAAAAAATAAAAAAAATCAGAACTATAACACATGCAAAAAAATCAATGCTGGAATTCTCCCCCTAAAAGTGTAGTAGACAAGAAAATGTTTCCTATGGTATTCAGTAAAAAGGAAAAAAGTCCATATACCAATAAATAAATAAAAACACTTAAACGCACTTCCCCTTAAAAATACAGTAGACTAGACAACGTTTCATAGAGTGTTCAATAAGAATATGTCCATATACATGTATCAGATGTTTGTTGTTGCCCCCTTGTATTTAGTATCTCACCGAACATGAATTCTTCTAATATCCTCACATTGTATATGGAGTTCCTCCAGATGAGGAAGTGTCACACGGCTTTCATTAATGGTGTCATGAGGGTCATCAAAGAATAACGGTGTTCCAGGATGTATGTTATTCATTCAGTACACAGCATGTAAAGTTCCAGATAGGTCATAATAATTCACAACTAATATGCAACACCCCATTTTCCAAGGATCCTGAACAAAAACAGTTTCAAAGGTGGGAATATAATTGGATGTATTGCAATATCTATTGATGGAGCCTCAGATGATAGATAAATAAGGAATGCATTTATTTTTCATTTCCCGGCTACATCAGTAGCTATCACAATACATCCAATTATATTCCCACCTTTGAAACTGTTGTGGTTCAAGATCTCTGGAAAATGGGGTATTGAATATTAGTTGTTAGATCATAATAACTATCTGGAACTTTACATTCGGTGTAATGAATGAATTAATAACATACATCCTGGAACACCGTTATTCTTTGCTGACCCTCATGACACTATTAATGAGTGCCCTGTTACACTTCATCTGGAGGAACTCTATATACAATTTGAGGATATTAGAAGGATTCATGTTCGGCGAGATACTAAATACAAGGGGGCAACAACAAACATCTGATACATGTATATGGACATTCTTATTGAACACTATATGAAACTTTTTCTAGTCTACTGTATTTTTAGGGGAAGAGCTTTTACATTTTTGGGGGCATTTGAGTTTTCCCGATTTCTTTTTGGAACGCAAATAAATTTGTATCTTTGTGAAATATTTTCTTTGTGCAGTCGTATTTGAAGGGATATCTCCAGCAGGGCAAACCGTTTTTTAAAGTTGAAAATTTCAACCTGACTTTGTGGCCAAACTAACCACTGAGAGAACTACTTGACCTTTTATCTTGCATGGGCCTGTTCACATTATATTAGTGAACAATTCAGGAGTGAACAGTCGTTAAAAGATGCATGTCAAACATTGTTTACATTCTACGCATCGGCCATGGCGTACCTTTGCGACATTATTTTGTAGGCGTCTGGAAGATGGCAGTCTGTGTTTTCCATCTGAAAGGGGTCTGCGTCACAGATCTTGTCATCTGTGCGCCCGTAGTTGGCACTTTCAATCATAATGACATCACTTCCTGGACATCGGAGGTCGATGGGGTATCCTTCGCAGGCAAGCTCCCGCCGAACTAAACCAAAAGGCAGTGCGGCTCGAGTGAACCCTGAAAAATAATAGGAGGAAGAAGATAAAATTAATAAATCAACAAAAGTAATACAATAAGATAACTTGTTACCATTTAAAATTAGTTGTAAACAAGGAAGCAATGTCATATTGTATTCTCAATTAGATCATTTTTTAAAGTTATGTTTACCTAAATGTACTATTAGAGCTGTATGCTTTTTTGTTGCACGCTGTTCTACTTTTCATAATAGCATTTCCTCTTGGATTTGCAAAATATTCCTCAAATGCCTATGCAGGAAAAATGGTTGCTACTTGACTGCTGAAGTAAGATTACCAGATAGAAGATTGCCCTGTTTTCAAGCAGACAGGGCCGACGCATTCTATATGATAGAAAGGATTGGTATAGCAGAATCACTGTGCAGCCCTACAAATTGGCAAGACTAGACCACCAGCTCCTATGGCTGCCCCAATATACAAAGACAAGTGCTCTTACCCTTTTGCCCTGACCAGAGCTTTAAATTGAAACATGTTTCAATGGAAGGGTGATACCACTTTCCCAGGTAAATTTGGGAAAATTGAATTACCCTCTCCAATCTGCCACCGTCCCCCCAACCCCACCCTCCGCTGTACTTACCTTTGGCCGATTGCTCCTTCACCTCTGCCAGTGCATATACTCTGTACACAACTGCACACTCTGCATTCTTTATTAAAAAATTTGCTTACAAATGGTGAGCACTCATTGGTCAGAGTAGTTACCTGACCGTGCTGACCAGTGAGAAGCATTTCTTAAAACATGTAAAATACAATGCGCAGGGTGTATTGCTGTGTACAGAGGTACGGGTAGTAAACCAGGACGGCATAGGGAAAGGAGTGTTAGGCCGCAAAGTAGTACGGGGGGGAGGGGGGCGATCAAATATATATTTGTGCCACTAACACATTGATTAGTAACACATTCCTTGGGTTTTGGTCATAAGATTGTTCGGTGGTCAGTGGGTGATAGTTGGTCAAAGTGTATGTGAACCACAACGACATAGTTCTCTTATTTATGGTCTGTTAAACCTACAGTTGAACGTTTTGTTATATCTGTTGCATAAATGCAAAAAATACCTACTGATGCTGCCAGAAATCCAGTAAGCTAACCTCCTGTGCTCTCAACTCTCAAGCAGCATTTTTATCCCTGTTTCTCCTATTAGAAATCTTGAGCTTACAACTTCCTGTGCTCTTTGACCATGCTGAACTGCTACCAGTTATTCTTCCCAATTGGACTACGGGACACTTTACCCTTATTTTATGGAGAACAGGGGGTGTTGTTCTGCAGTCCTGTCCTAGGGTGGCAACACTGCTCCTCCACGGATACAGGATTTGGATCCAAAAAGACAGAAAACTAAAGAGGGACAGAGGGTTTTGGGTCCACAAAGAGGGGCAACTAAAGCGGGACAGAGGGTTTTGGGTCCACAAAGAGGGACAACTAACGAGGGACAGAGGGATGTGGGTCCACAAAGAGGAACAAAGGGATTGGTGTCCAAAAGAGGAACAAAGGGATTTGGGTCCACAAAAAAAGGTACAAACAACAAAAAAGAGGGACTGAGGGATTTGAGTAAAAAAAAAAAAAAGAAAAGAAAAAAGGAGGACAGCTAATGAGGAGAGACTAAGGAAATCAGGGACAGTTATCATTCTTCCCAGTTCCCTCTACAGATTACCCTACCCTTATTTTATGGAGAGAAGGGGGGCAGGGGGTGTTGTTCTGCTGTGCTGTCCCAGGGTGGCAACACTGCTCCTCCACAGATACAGCAAGCATTGTCACTCTAAGTCCAGAAATGTGTTACTGGCAGGATCAACAGGTGAAAATAAAGGGGTAAAAAAAACAGCAGGTGGTATAAGAGGACGATAAAAGAAAAACGTGGAGGGGAGAACGATGATTTCACTACTTTCGAGCATATTGGTTCCATTCCACAAGAACCGCATGCAACCACAAATTTATCCGAAAAACATAAGACGAAAGGGCTCCTAACAACTGTATAATTACTGAGGTCGCTCAGTCTTGCCCTGCTCTCAACAACAAGCAAGGCTTTGTAACTGCACCTGGCCTAAGGGATGACAGCTGGACAACCGAGCTACGAACAATGGCCGCATGACAGCTATTTCTCTGTTAATAAGAGGCTACAATAACAGAACGCTCACTTTAGGTAATAGGAAAATAAAAAGAAATAAAAAAAGCAGTACAGTGTTCGCTCTGAAGGCTGTAGTAGAAGACCGAGCTGTGAGTGCACAAACACACAACAGGTTTAACAAACAAGAGCTGATGTCTATATTTTAGGCTAGTTCCCATCACAACTTTGCCTGCCGAATCATTCCCTTGGCGGTCTCCTCCTGTTTTCCTTGGCTCATCTGCACTGTATCAGGTCGGATTATACCTAAGGGAGCACATCAGTGAATCACACACGATTCATAATATCCCTTCTGCTTATTCACGCACCAGGCACAATCGCCCCCGCAGCAGCCCGCGTGATGGCTTTGTTGAACCGGTCAATTGTACGCGGATTCCGGTATAGTCCCCGCAAAATAACCGGACTTGTAAACGTGAATAACTGAATATAAATATGTCACTAATTCAGTGCAACAGTAGAAATCGGCTGTTAACATCTGCAGCGCTCAGAGCTCAGGCCTCGGCCATGCTTCCAGACAGTCAGATTTAAGCGAAAGGTGTGGTGCTGAATACTCTCCAACAGCAGCATAGGTGTAGGGAGATAAGTCTATTGGGACCACAATAGGGGCAACTGAGGAAAGAGGGATATGGGTCCACAAAGAGGGATAGGAGGGATGTAGGTCCACAAACAGGGACAACTAAAGAGGGACAGAGGGATTTGGGTCCATAAAGAAGGACAACTAAAGAAGTACAGAGGTATTTGAGTCGACAAACAGGGGCAACGAAAGAGGGACAAAAAGGGGTTTGTATCCACAAACAAGGGCAACTAAAGAGGGGCAGAAGGATTTGGGTCCATAAAGATACACAACTGAAGGGCAGAGGGATTTGGGTCCATACAGAGGGACAACTAAAAGGACAGAGGGATTTGGGTCCACAAACAGGAGCAACTAAAGAGTGACAGAGATTTGGGTCCATAAAGAGGGACAAAGGGATTTGGATCCACAAAAAGGGACAAACAACAACAAAAAAAGAGGGACTGAGGGACTTGAGTCCCAAAAAAGGGGCAGCTAATGAGAAGAGACACTAAGGGAATCAGTTCCAGATAGACAGAAAACTAACAAACTAAAAAGAGGAACTGAAGGATCTGAGTCCACAAAGAGAGGCACCTGAAGAGAAGAGGGACTAAGGAGTTTGGGTCCAAAAAGAGGGACAGCTAAAACCTGGATACAAGATGCCCGTGAAATCTGCGAGAGAGTAAAACAATACCAAAATGTGCATTGCATGTGCAGGATTATTGTGTCAAACGGTATATGCATTCCTTAAAGATGTAATTACACTTTAAATCTTCAGTAGGATTCTAAACCTCCACCACATCCATGGCTTAAACAAGAACGTTATTGGCAGTCAGCACAAATAATAGAGCACATTCTGAGATCAGTGTAACCCGAGCAGTCCTGTGACTGTGACCAGTGAAGAGAGACCTGCAGGGAGGCTTTGAAAGTTGAATAGCCTGTGTAGGCCGATTTCCATTAACCCCAACCCTTCCCAAACCTGCCCACTGCTGCAAACACTTCACCTCTGTTGGACACTAGTTGAAGACTGCTAAAAGCTTCTTGAAAGCTACTGTTTTTATCTCAACGTTTCCATTGGGATACAGCCAAGTAGCCCTCGGAAACGCGCGTTTGTCGCGCGTTTTTTACTGTGAATCGCGGTAAAAACATGCGCAACAAACGCGCATATTTGATACGCCTAGGTGTGAACCCAGACTGAAAGTCATACACATCAGCACAAACTTATAATGTAAATGAGAAATAACAATGATCAGAGGATAGTTTTACTGCTGGGCTTCAGCTGCATGCCCACTTGCATGCAGGAAAACAAAAAAGTAAAACATAAAACACAATATTCCACATTATTTAAAGTACAACTGAAGCCAAAATATTTTCTTAGTTATGGAGTGGAGAGGGATTAGACCCCATCTGGTGTTTCTTGCTGTATCTCCACTAGGGAGATCCACACTCGCAATTTGTCCTTGTGAACATTATCACTGAAAGTGAAAGAAAATCCCAAATGTTGGGTTTACATCAGAACAGAAATAGATGGGAAATCTTCCAATGGGGACACTAGTTCTGATCCAAGAAGAGTGATGACTAACAAGGAAAGAGAGTGAGGGATTTGAGTACAAAGAGGGACAGCCAATGAGGAAAGAAAGACTGTCTTATGTCCCCCATAAGGGAGATTCACCCTCTTTATTTGTCCTGGTGACCATTATCAATGAAAGTGAAAGAACATCCCAAATTTGGAGTCAGGAACAGATGGAAAATCTTCCATTGGGAACGCTAGTAACCCGTCTGGGTGTCAAGTGTTTATCAATTAGTTATAGTTACCCAGCTGACCACCAGGGATTTTCTCTCACTTCCTGTTGTGGCTATCAGACAGGAAGTGATGGGAAGTCACCCCAATGGGACACAGATGGCAACCAAACAGCTGATGGGGTTATAACCCTCCCTTACTCTATCCAAAACTAAAGGTTTTCTTTTTTTCCATAATTTATTTCCAGCAAAACCCGGATTGGTGACATTAATTTCCTTTAAAGGTATCTTGTGCGTGGCAACATTATAGATATATGACCTTCTCCTTAGTCTAGTATGACTGAGATCACACATGGGTCATATCCCATCCCGCCATAAAGAGGCCATTTCAATTCTCTTTATTCTATTGCTTTACTACCTCTAAAAAGTTATTAAAAAACTGCACCCCACCTCCCCCAACACAGTGTTGGGCCTACTTGGCAGCCAAACAGCCTGCACGTTCTGTAGCGGGGGCCAAACAGCCATAAAAAGGTTTAATTTGATGTGTAAGCAGGAAAGCGGGATAAATTACGGGAATGGGCT